TCCCCCCCCCCCCCATCAATTTATTGTCTACGAATGATTTCGATACGATTGTAGGAGATATACTTCCAATGATTCCTTTTTTTTTTTTTCACCAAATTTAAAATTTATGTTTTTCAATCACATATTAACATAAATTAATATGTTTTACTAAACAATCAAATTAATTGAAAAAAATCCCATAAAGCTTATTTCTAAAATATTAAGCCAAACGTGTTTTCTGTGTTTTGTTTTGAGAAACAACTTTTATGAATGACAAACCAAATGTATTTTCTACAATATTAAAATAATCCCTCAAAATAGAAAATAAAAAATGACTTCAAAACTAAAATGAAAAACAAAAACGCAAACCAATCGCACACTAAGATTTTACAATAGATTTTACACAAAATTTTCAAAGAAATTCCATATAATTTTCAATTTTGTCCTCACAATTAAAATTTTGTGAAATTTGCTCTCAAAACCTTTCTCGTGTCTTTGTCCCTACTTATACCAAATAGTGGAAGTAACTCAAGATTTTATTTTAAATTCTATTAATAATTGATTTGAGCTTGTAAGTCTTTAGTACACAAAATATCTTTCTGTTTTTTTGGTACAGAGTCTTCCTTGCACTTGTTAAAGAATAATCAAGACAAGCCTATTTCAAAACTCAAGGGTTTGGCAAGAAAATTGAAACATTAATGGTCAATTTTGACTTATTAAAGTCAATGACTCAATTTTTTGACTGGATGACATTTGATACTCTACATAGAAGTTGATGAGTAATTTACTTGTGAAATCATCATAATAGCGAAGTAATGGCAGTCTCTATATAGTTCTTCTACAGGGCTTCTTGAATAAGTTTCTCCGTTAGAGTTTTCGAAAGTCCCATTACACAATCGCAGGTTCCAATCTGAAAATCATTTCAAATAAAGCATCAGTTAAAACGACAAACAAACTCAAGCAACCATACAGAGTAAATGTTACACACAAGAATTTTATTTGAGAAAATTGATTGGTTCAAAGCTGGGTAGACTACTTTTATTATTAGTTATTGTTAAAACCTCGAAATATAATCCACGAAGCTTGTCAATTGATATCGAAGCACAAGACAATACGCGAGAGAACAAGGGAGTAAAAGGTTCGCCCAAAGTATGCGAATCCTCCTCCTACCCAGAATGTTAATAAAATACACATGGGTAAATGAATAAAACGTAACACTCTTAATAGAATCAACTACAAGTTAGCCAATAAGAGGCTGTCATCTATCGTTCCCTCTACTTGACCGAATTATCCCAAAGTTTTAAGAGAAATCTACAAGGCCACACAGCACAAACCCCCCCCCCCCTACAAATTACCCTTGCTATCGAAAAGCCCCCTACATTTTGAAAATAGCATAAAACGTCCCTGTTTAAAACCTTTCTTGTAGAATATCCGCTACCATATTTCGTCTGTTCCATGGTTCAGGGAAAAATGGGGGAAAAAAAAGAAGGCACCTATTAGAAATTTTGTGCAAAACACCCACCTATTGAAATTAGCGCGAAAAAGTCATTGTCTATTTTCTCAATAAAAAAATTGAAAACGATAAATATGCCCTCATATTTAAATAAAACACAAAGAAAATTAAAAAAAAATTAATTTCACTATAATCGCAATTTTTTTCAAATTCAGCAAACAAGTTCCAAATAAAAAATTTAAAAATTAAAATTAAAAAAAAAATCGAAAAAAAAAATAAAAAAATGAAGCCCTAAAATATGTGCTTACGAGAATGTTGCTAAACTCAAGTAGGTGATTGAATAATTGTAGCAAAATGGCATGAAATTAAGGAAACTAAAAACCACCATGACCACTCAAAAAAAAAATTTGGATTTTATTTTATTTTATTTTTTATTATTATTATTTATTTGGAGCTTGTTTGCATTTATTTGAAAAAAATTGAGACTATAGTTTAAATTAGTTTTTTTATTATTTTCTTCCCTTTTTGTTTTATTTAAATAGAAGAGTATATTCATCATTTTCAATCTTTTAATTAATAATATAGACACTGGGGGACCTTTTTTTGCTAATTTTGGGAGATTTTGTGAAACATGTCTAATAGGCAGGGAGTTTATCCTTTCTTTTTTTCCCATTTTCCCCCTATTTATTGGGATTTAACGGCGAGATTGATGAAATGTGACGACAAGAGTATTCCATAAGAAATGTTTAAAGCAAAGAACATTTTGTGCTGGGTTTCGTGCTGCTTCGCCAATCTATAAATACCCCCACTTTCAGGGGCACAATCAAAATCTTTACAAATTGAATACTTTGTTATTAATTTTTGAATGATTTATAATTTACCGAGAAAAACAGATTTACATTTAAAAAATATTTCTTCATTAATATTTTGCTCATCATAAAAAAATACATATTTATATTTAAAAAAAATTATAACCCTATTTGAGCCTCATTTTTCAAGAATACATTTTCTCAAAACTCATTTTCAACCACACATTCTTCTATAAAATAATTATACACGTATATCAAAAACTTTTTCTTACTTTTTAATCACACAATCTCCAAAAAATTATTATTCCATAATGCATTTTATCTCAAAAATAAGAACCAAACAGAGGCTATATTGTATTTAATACAAACAATCAATTCAAATGATCAAAAGAAAAAACATATAACCAATATTCAATCAAATAAATACAATTCTTTAAATATAATAAGTTAAATTGCATTTAATCAATTCAGTCACATTCCTTGTACACAAATAGGATATAAGAAAATGCAAATTTAGGTTCTAATTAATTGAAAATTTGATTGGAAAGTAAAAATTTATAGTAGATCTGATAATTCAAAGAAAAATTATAGACAAATTTTAAAAATTTAGAAGGGTAAAGGGTTTGGTAAAAGGTGTGTGTAAAATATAGCAAGAGAAAAGAGAAAAATTCAAATTTATTGTGATTTTGCCATGTTTGATGGAGGTTAAAATTAGATTTTTAGTATATTTTGATAAAAGTTAAAAAGCTAAAGATTTCATGAAATATGTTATTAAAATTAATTATTAACTTTGATTTATATTAAAATTTCAATTTCAATTGATACCAAACAAAACTTATCAATACCAAAAATAAATAAATAAATCAAATCAAATCTCAAAAGTTGACTCTCTTGGGTCCGCCCATGCCCACTTTTAATGAGAAATTGATGTAATTCGAGTATCTCCCTCCCAAATAGTCATATCCCATCTTAATCCAAGTTTGAGCATCAAAACTAGTAAAGTTTAGAAGGTGAAAATCCTAGTTAGGTGAGAAGATTTGTTGATCAAGTTTTTATTTTCAACAATTATTATGTTCACTTTTAAAGCTTAGTGTAAAGTTCTTTTCATGCAGAATATGGAATATACAGAAACCATTCAGCTCTTTTGCTCTCAATCGTTCTCTATTTCTTCTTCTGTGAGGTTGGCTTTGAAGAATCCTAGTATCCTTCAGCCTTGTTCTAGACCTTTATGTCAAAATCACCTCAACTTGGTTACAGGTGAAGATTTTCTAAAATATATAATGTCAACTCCACGAGGCCGCCAAATAATGGCATTTGCCACCACAAGGAACAAGGAAAGCTCTCATTAATCAAGAAAGATGAAGTTAAAACCGCAACACTGTAAGACAAGTTTCAAGCTAATAATTGCTTCATTGTGTGGTGCACAGAGAGAGAGAGAGAGAGACTGACCACTGTGTCTACCAAGGGTAAAGTCAGTGGATGTTCTAGCATCAAACCCCCAGCAACATTGAGTATTATTCCCTCCTCAAGCTATGCATATCTCATACAATTAAACGAGGGATATGGATGGAGATGACAACTATTTCCAACTTTGGTCTATAGGAAGTTTACCAGACTATCAATGATGTCATCTGGAATAGCATGAAAATAAACCTGCAGCAGTAGAATCACAATCTAAAATTAGTGATGCAGTTGAATGGATAAAGACGGAATAATTGTAGAAGATTTAATTTGTTGGACCTTAGGCAATGGCAGAAGCGGACATTTTGAGTCAGTGGGGCACAATCTAACTTTGTACAGATCAAATACTTTATTCTTGATTTTTGAAAGATTCATACTTGACTCGAAAAACAAAGATTTACATGTAAAAAAATCTCTCATTAATATTTTGGTCAACGTTTTCATTAATTTGATTTTGAACAATCATTTTATTAATATTTTACTCCTCACAAGAGAATGTATATTTACATTTAAAGAATTTATAGTGTATTTAAAATTTTCATACAAATGATCAATTCAAGTAATCAAAAAACATGCAAAAAAACACCAAAAGTTGAACCCCCAAGACCCCCTGTGCCGGCCACTGACCTTAGGTAGATGTAGCAGTAGATTAGAAAAAAGGATTTCCATAGATGTAGCTGACTTTTTAAGATTTACGTAGCTGATTTAATATGGGTGGCTTATCAATCTTTCGACTAAAAAAAATGCTTCATGCACAAGGCAATCCTACTCCTATAAGTCAAGGTACCAAGCTAAGCCTAACCACGTGAGAACCAGTGTAGGATATTACTTGGAAGGATATGCCGATGGAGATACCTTGATGACATAAAATCCACAAAAGGATATTGCATTTTCTTAGGGGTTAATTTGGTTGCTTTAAGCTCTAGAAACAAAAGGTAGTAGCGTGTTCCAGCACAGAGGCCAAATATAGGGTTAGCACAGGCTACAAGAGAGTTTGATTGGCTGCAATCAATGTTGCATGATCTAAGGTTATTTGCTAAGGACGAATCAATGCTGGTGCTAAATTGCTCACTTCGAACTCTGTCTATCATGCTAAAGCAAAGCACAAAGAAATTGATGTATAATAGTCAACATTAAACGTGCAACGCACTTTATTATGAAATGCTTTATAAGTGCTATAAAAATAATATTTGAATATGCGTGAATGTTAATTAATTTAGAATTAACAATGGGGAATATATAAGTGACAATGAGTGCTAAATCATTATTTAATTTCTAATTAAGTAAAAATAACTGTTAATTCGCATACATAGACGTGATTAATGAAATACATTCTTGAATGTGAAATTCAAGTTAACATATAATCCGAATTAATGAAATTGAAATGCATAATGAATTTGAATGTTAATTAATTGAGAATTAATAATAAGGAATTCATACATTAATGAAAGCATATAGGGTAAATGAATCTGTAAAATGTGGCTAAATGGTTAAATGAATTAAATATATATTAAAAATGAAAAGTAAGGTATTATTGAAATAATCGAGTTATAGTCATATTTGCAGCAACTGTAAGAGTATGTTATAAAACTTAATTTTATGAAAATACCTTAGGGAAACAAGTTCATTCAGTTGCTGCAAAAAGAAGATTAGCACAAAGAGAAATGAAACTATTGAACTTCGAAGTTAATGTTTAAATTAAGTTGGTTTTTCTAGGGACATCTTTCTGATCAAAAGCTTCCGAAAAATATGATAGATGCCCTAATAGCACTTCCATGCATCCCGAATAATGAGCATAATTGTTTGAACTTTGAAGTTGATGTTTAAATTATGTTGATTTTTCAAGGGACATCTTTCTAATCAAAAGCTTCCCAAAAAGATGATAGAAGCCATAATAGCACTTCCATGCATTCTGAATGGTAAGCATAATGGATTAGATAGAGCAAATTGAAATGATCTTATATGATGCTAGACGAGTGTTGAACTTTTCATTGAATCTATATCCTTCTTTTTGATGGAAAACTTCCATCAAATGAAATACAAGTTCGTGTCCAGTAATTCTTTTCTCACAAAGGAATAGCATGGAGGTCATAAGTTCATAGCAGCTAACATGTGGGTTTAAATTACAAATAGATAGAAATAAGTGGTTGATAAGTGAATATTACTTGTGGGTCGTCAAAATGTGTGGAGAAAAAGTGGCTTGACTATTTATAAATATGAGGCAAAAATAGGAGTAACATTTTTTTAAATTTTCATTAGGAGAACATTCAAACTTTGAGATCAAGAAAATTAGAATGACCCTTGTACAAAGCTAATGGTGGTTTTGAACTCTAGATAGAATTAAATTGAAGACTGGAATGGAGCAATTCAAAAGAATTTGAAAATAGTTATGCCATTGAGTAGCAATACAGAACCTTGTATACAATGATGCAAGTCAAGCAACATGACTCATATAAGCCTTTTCACAATGCTTTTATTGTCCACCAAGAACTTTTTTCAAACAAAAAAATTGAACAGTAAAAAATAACAAGGACAAAAAGAATAAATAATTGTACTGTATCTGCAGTAAGTAGCAGTGTGGGTCGTTTCAATTCCTTTAAATTGTCAGTAATCGCGAGCCTTGACATAATTGCTTCAGCCTAACAAATTAAAATATCAAAACCATCATTCACGTCCAGGCCAAAACAATGGTAATGCTAACAATTTGAGTCAATTAGAATGTATCTAAGACTAAGATACCAGTATAGAGGGCCTGTAGAAAAGCTATTCCATTACATTAAAAAAGTCTATATTCCTTCATTAATGTCACATGCAGTTCTATTTATGCTTTAAGCAATTTACATGAGATACGGAAAGTGGAGAGTCAAGACTGGTATTAAGTATTGAAGACGTGCAACTTTAAGAGGAATAAGAGAATACAAAAATCAACTGTATTTAACATGCAAGGGTCGTTGCTTGATTTGTTTGAGTGGCCCGCAAATTAAGCATGTTTACTGGCGTATTGTATTGTTTGTAATGTCTCAAAGTGGTTGCCATTGACATGGACATAGATCATAACTTATCATTTTAATATTAAGGAGTAATCTAGATTTCTCCTTGTCTAGAGAGAACCTGGTATTCACTTGAACAAAATTTTAATCTTCAAATACATCTATTTATACACTTAGCCCCTGTTTGGAGCTGATTCTTTAAAGTAAAAATAAATAAATAAATAAAATAAAATAAAAAATAGAGAGAGGGAGAGAGAGCGAGCCGTTAACTTGGAGAGTGGAGTCAAAAAAGATGGCTGAAAAGTAATAAATAACGGTCAAAAAATTCATTTTTTGACCTGAAACAAGCGCTTAGAATCTTTCTTATCTTCCTTTTAAACCAACAAAAGAAAAAGGTGGCAACATTCTATATTTTTATTGAAACCACCCAAATTACAAGCTTCATGAGAAATGATGGAACCCCACAGAGATAATTATGAATATCATGCATAATTAGGCATTAAGCCATTTTTACTATCTCCTACAACCTACTTAGAGATCAGAGAGAGCACCTCAGTTTTTTAAAGAACTAAATATCCCGAGAAATGAAAAAAATGACCACCGTATTTAATAATGATGCAGATATCACATTTAAAATTCAAATTACAAGTGATGCCACTTGGGCAAATTTGAAACAACATATGAATTGAGCTTTTTAACCATAAGAAAGATGAAAAGGAGGAGCAATTTTTTTTACTTAAAACATTTTCTACCCTTCATAGATTAGCCTAAAAATCAAAGAATATTTAGCTCTTTCTGTAGGCAATTTTACTCCAAGTCAAACCATAATTATCTTGTGTCCTTCAGTAAATACAATTATATCTAACTGACCTATATATGTATTTCAGTTGAAATACAAATACATATTGAGATACATACTTTAAATACTATCACAATCCTGAACCCAATCTCTTTTCCGGGAGGAGGTCCTAATCATTATAGTCAATGAAAATGATCTCACCCCAAAGGTCGGCAAAAAATGAGGGTTGCAGCATCCAACATACCTTTCCATGTTTAGCACGTCCAAATAAAAAATGATGTTATATATGTTGACTGTTAAGGTATTTAACAAAAAATATCATAAGGACCTCCAATTTGGGTTCAAGTAGCTTTCTAGCAGACCCCTACAGCTTGTTACTGGAATATTTTAACTGTTCCCCCTCTTAAAATGTGGATTACAGCATCCAACATACCTTTCAATGTTTAGCTTGTCCAATTAAAAAATGATATTATATTTTGAGTTATTTAACAAAAAGTATCATAAGGACATCCGATTTGGGTTCAAGTATCTTTCCAGAAGACACCATACAGCATTTTAGGGGAATATTTTAACTGTTCCCACTCTTAAGCATGTACACACATATAAGTCAATTAGAGAAAAAATGTCTTCATTAATTTATTTTCCTCATTTACACATGCTTATAAACTTTCAACAGCAGTCCTATCTCATTACTATCTTTCCAGCTTTATCAAAATTTGTGTACTCTTGTACTTTTACTGTATTATATCAACCACAGAGGCATACTACAGACAATATCCTCTAATACCATTAAAAAGATAAAACAGGACGGGTTCTCCATTGTGATATACAAATTCTATTGTGGCACTAAATTTCATTGTTGTATTATACCTTAGAATACATTGAGAAAATAATTTATATACAATTTTGATTATCATTTGCTTAAGTTGACGAGCACCCTTTTGAATGGCATTTTTTTTTTTTAATGGGGAGGTCTACAGAATGGAATAGCACAAAAGCAAACTTGATTCTAGAGCTGCAAAGTAAAGCTTCTGTCAAAGAGTATGTCGCTGACTGCATGAATTTCACATTGAAACCATAAAACAATGTATAGTATGGTATGGTCATAAAATTGACACCAGATACAAGTCCAGATTGCAAAAGCACTGATATTTGGATAAATGAGATGTGTCAAGTAAAAACTAGAAATGAATTAGGCCATCAGGCAGGCCAAGACTGTTTAATACAATGGATAACTAACAAAGATACCCACACAAAATTCCATTCACGAAGACGAAATAAGTAACCTCTAAATACCTCCACAAAATGAACAGAAAAATGCATAAAAGATAGATAGTGTCAGGCAGAAGGTAAAAATGAATGACCGAAAAACATGACATCAAGCGTCTTTTACATGTTCTGTGATAGTCAGTTCTACCAATTAAAATCTGTCACATAATTGCTGCATCACAACTAGGATTGCACACAATAGGGAAAAATATATGTTAACAAATCTGTACGTCTATACGTGTGTGATTGCCAGTCTATTAGTAGCATATAGCGAGATTTTTTAGTTCCGCCAGTTCCACTTTCTGTCTCCTGAACAAAATACTTCGTCATTTCAGCCCAAATTACAAGATTTTCTTTTAAATCTAATGAAACTGCTCTATGTATCAATGGTTTCAGATCAAGCCCTTCTATAAAAATCTCATATGCGCCAAAGGTTACTTTTTTAGTTCGACACATACAATTGTGAGAAAACTAAATAGACCAACGCTATAGCAATTCTCCAAGAGGAGGTAAAACCGTCACTATAATCATACAATTACCCACAGACAGATTACCCAGCAGCCAGCACAACGTAAATATCCAAAAAGAGAGGCCGCTGAATTATTCAGAATACTAAAAAGACGAATTAATGTCGAAAACAAACTCGTAATTCAAAATAACGAAATGGTTGTAAAGAACCCAAAAATACAGGTATATACTCATCAAGCTTTATGTAAAATAAAGTTTAGAAATCATGATTAATAGAAATAAGAAAGCAATAAACTGGGGTGTGTGCTTGCGTGCCAGAGAGAATGAATAAAACGCTTACTTCTTGAACATTTTTAAGGTAATGGGAGGTAGGGTTTTAAGAACTTGGCACCGGATTATACAAAATTCCAAGAAATTTGAGGAGTTTCGGAACGAGACGGATTAAATTTGAGCTTAGGCAGCGTTATGACGAAGCAAAAAGTAGGGAATAAAATTACTATGTGAACATAGGTTAGGTCTTGCTAATGTTAAAATTCAGTTTAGGTAATTGTTTAGCAGGAATTTTGATAAATGATTTTTTGATCATTAAAGATAAAGTGAGTTCTATTTGTGGGAGAAGAATTTAAAAATGACAATTGAAATAATAAAATAATAGTCAAAAAATAATTTTAATTGACTTGAAATTTATACCAAACAAGCTCTCGAATTCATAATCAGTGAAATAATAGAATTAATTATGAGTGGCCATAGAACTTCAATTTTGCTCTGGATGGTCCTCATCTTTCAAAAGTTTTACCCATTAATCATTCGTTTGGATTCTGTTTTTTGGAGCTAGCAGACATGCCTATTTGCAGGGGAGTTAAATGAGACAAGTTGAGCACGAGTCAAATTGTTGACCAAAGTAGGCTCATTTGCCTCGTTTGAAAACACATTTTTTCACTAAATTTCAAGAGCCGGCTAGCTCCCGAGCAAGCTAGATCGTGTCCACGACTCATTCGACTTCATACGAGTTAATTATCCAAATAGTCACTAAATTTTGCCAAAGGAAAATTACATGTGGTGCTATGTACCATCAAATGATGCCAACTTGAACTCTATTCATTTTGCACTATTAAATTGATTCCATTTAAATACAAAATGGAATTTTAAACATGTGCACCTGAAGCCCCAAAATTAATCGTCTTTTTTCCGTTTCACAAAACTGAGCACTTCAAAATCTCTGACCTTATCCCCAAGTTCAAAAAATTGGAGTGCAAAATACACAATTCTTCGTTCAATTTTGACCAAGTAAGTGTGACATTGCGGACAATGCTCAATCTTGAGGACCTATTGGACGAAAGATAATCTAGGTAGAAGGGACCACAATTACAACTTGTTAAGGGATGAAACTTCACATCGAATGAAGATGAAGACATAGACAACTTATAAGTGTTTAGACTAATCTTCTTAAAAAAGTTAACATTTTAAGATATAACTCTAAGTCTTAATATAATATTAAAATTCATTAAACACTAAAGAGTAATTCGATCTGATCAAAACTCAAAAAATGAGTACATGAATTTCATAATTAGTTTTACCCAAACGAGGCACCATCTTATGGGATATAATCGTCAAGATACCAAAGAGCCTAAAACTCAACTACTGGCTCAAAGAGATCCAAAAATTAGAAATTTTACCAAAAACTCTAAAAACACAATATTAAGATAAAATTCCTTAGCTTTAGGTCAGATTCTCAACTATCTTAAAAACATTAAAAACAAGAAAAAGCATCTGGTAGACCTACCAAACAGTCAGGAGTAGACCCAAACATTTTGAGTTGGAGGTACAATCAAACTTGTACAAATCGAATATTTTATTTTCAATTTTTGAATGATTCATACTTGACCTAAGAAAATGCAAATTTACACTTAAAAAATATTTTTTCATTAATATTTTGCTCATCACAAGAAAATACATATTTACGTTTAAAAAATTTATAGTGTATTTTATGCAAAAAGTCAATTCAAGTAATCGAAAAGAAAAATATAACAAATATTCGATAATAATAATCAATCAAATAAATATAATTCGTTAAATATATGTCAAATTGGACATAATCATTTCAGACCCATTCTATATACATAATTTGATAGGAAAAACATGCAAAAAAACACCAAAAGTTGAACCCCCAAGACCCCCTGTGCCGGCCACTGACCTTAGGTAGATGTAGCAGTAGATTAGAAAAAAGGATTTCCATAGATGTAGCTGACTTTTTAAGATTTACGTAGCTGATTTAATATGGGTGGCTTATCAATCTTTCGACTAAAAAAAATGCTTCATGCACAAGGCAATCCTACTCCTATAAGTCAAGGTACCAAGCTAAGCCTAACCACGTGAGAACCAGTGTAGGATATTACTTGGAAGGATATGCCGATGGAGATACCTTGATGACATAAAATCCACAAAAGGATATTGCATTTTCTTAGGGGTTAATTTGGTTGCTTTAAGCTCTAGAAACAAAAGGTAGTAGCGTGTTCCAGCACAGAGGCCAAATATAGGGTTAGCACAGGCTACAAGAGAGTTTGATTGGCTGCAATCAATGTTGCATGATCTAAGGTTATTTGCTAAGGACGAATCAATGCTGGTGCTAAATTGCTCACTTCGAACTCTGTCTATCATGCTAAAGCAAAGCACAAAGAAATTGATGTATAATAGTCAACATTAAACGTGCAACGCACTTTATTATGAAATGCTTTATAAGTGCTATAAAAATAATATTTGAATATGCGTGAATGTTAATTAATTTAGAATTAACAATGGGGAATATATAAGTGACAATGAGTGCTAAATCATTATTTAATTTCTAATTAAGTAAAAATAACTGTTAATTCGCATACATAGACGTGATTAATGAAATACATTCTTGAATGTGAAATTCAAGTTAACATATAATCCGAATTAATGAAATTGAAATGCATAATGAATTTGAATGTTAATTAATTGAGAATTAATAATAAGGAATTCATACATTAATGAAAGCATATAGGGTAAATGAATCTGTAAAATGTGGCTAAATGGTTAAATGAATTAAATATATATTAAAAATGAAAAGTAAGGTATTATTGAAATAATCGAGTTATAGTCAGGGTAGAATCGTCCAAAAAAATGATTCTCACTTAATGTGATATTTAATATATTATAGATTATACTAAGCATAAAGTTGCTACGAACGATTTGAAAGTACATTCCCACATAAGAGAAAGTGGTCGACATCTTAACCAAGCCTATATCAATTACTCAACATTATTTGAGGTATGACTTTCCCAAGTTCTATAACATTAATATCTGAGAAGGCATCACATCTCGAAACCCTGGATCTTGAAGGGCAAGCTTACAATAAAGGATGCATCATTATTGCACTTGAGGAGAAGAGTTGAAATATTAGCATTTATTCTAGAGTTGAAATATAGGAGGAATATTTTTTGCCTAGACATTCCTTGGTCATTCTTATATAGAAGGATACTATACATGCACCACTATTGTTGTGAATAGAAGAAAATTATATTTCAAAATGCAATGGAAAAAATTTCATGAAACTATAAGGCCATGTCAATTTGGTCAAATTGTTGATTTCTTTCCAAAACTTGCTCTACTGGATCTCATTGTTCTTGTGGGTAAAAGTTTCTTCAAAGCAGGACAAGACTTATCCAACCACCTAAATTGTAGCTTTATTGAACTTTTCATTGAATCTATATCCTTCTTTTTGATGGAAAACTTCCATCAAATGAAATACAAGTTCGTGTCCAGTAATTCTTTTCTCACAAAGGAATAGCATGGAGGTCATAAGTTCATAGCAGCTAACATGTGGGTTTAAATTACAAATAGATAGAAATAAGTGGTTGATAAGTGAATATTACTTGTGGGTCGTCAAAATGTGTGGAGAAAAAGTGGCTTGACTATTTATAAATATGAGGCAAAAATAGGAGTAACATTTTTTTAAATTTTCATTAGGAGAACATTCAGACTTTGAGATCAAGAAAATTAGAATGACCCTTGTACAAAGCTAATGGCGGTTTTGAACTCTAGATAGAATTAAATTGAAGACTGGAATGGAGCAATTCAAAAGAATTTGAAAATAGTTATGCCATTGAGTAGCAATACAGAACCTTGTATACAATGATGCAAGTCAAGCAACATGACTCATATAAGCCTTTTCACAATGCTTTTATTGTCCACCAAGAACTTTTTTCAAACAAAAAAATTGAACAGTAAAAAATAACAAGGACAAAAAGAATAAATAATTGTACTGTATCTGCAGTAAGTAGCAGTGTGGGTCGTTTCAATTCCTTTAAATTGTCAGTAATCGCGAGCCTTGACATAATTGCTTCAGCCTAACAAATTAAAATATCAAAACCATCATTCACGTCCAGGCCAAAACAATGGTAATGCTAACAATTTGAGTCAATTAGAATGTATCTAAGACTAAGATACCAGTATAGAGGGCCTGTAGAAAAGCTATTCCATTACATTAAAAAAGTCTATATTCCTTCATTAATGTCACATGCAGTTCTATTTATGCTTTAAGCAATTTACATGAGATACGGAAAGTGGAGAGTCAAGACTGGTATTAAGTATTGAAGACGTGCAACTTTAAGAGGAATAAGAGAATACAAAAATCAACTGTATTTAACATGCAAGGGTCGTTGCTTGATTTGTTTGAGTGGCCCGCAAATTAAGCATGTTTACTGGCGTATTGTATTGTTTGTAATGTCTCAAAGTGGTTGCCATTGACATGGACATAGATCATAACTTATCATTTTAATATTAAGGAGTAATCTAGATTTCTCCTTGTCTAGAGAGAACCTGGTATTCACTTGAACAAAATTTTAATCTTCAAATACATCTATTTATACACTTAGCCCCTGTTTGGAGCTGATTCTTTAAAGTAAAAATAAATAAATAAATAAAATAAAATAAAATATAGGGCCTTAGCACAGGCTACAAGAGAGTTTGATTGGCTGCAATCAATGTTGCATGATCTAAGGTTATTTGCTAAGGACGAATCAATGCTGGTGCTAAATTGCTCACTTTGAACTCTGTCTATCATGCTAGAGCACAAAGAAATTGATGTATAATAGTCAACGTTAAATGTGCAACGCACTTTATTATGAAATACTTTACAAGTGCTATAAAAATAATATTTGAATATGCGTGAATGTTAATTAATTTAGAATTAACAATGGGGAATATATAAGTGACAATGAGTGCAAAATCATTATTTAATTTCTAATTAAGTAAAAATAGCTCTTAATTCGCATACATAGACGTGATTAATGAAATACATTCTTGAATGTGAAATTCAAGTTAACATATAATCCGAATTAATGAAATTGAAATGCATAATGAATTTGAATGTTAATTAATTGAGAATTAATAATAAGGAATTCATACATTAATGAAAGCATATAGGGTAAATGAATCTGTAAAATGTGGCTAAATGGTTAAATGAATTAAATATATATTAAAAATGAAAAGTAAGGTATTATTGAAATAATCGAGTTATAGTCAGGGTAGAATCGTCCAAAAAAATGATTCTCACTTAATGTGATATTTAATATATTATAGATTATACTAAGCATAAAGTTGCTACGAACGATTTGAAAGTACATTCCCACATAAGAGAAAGTGGTCGACATCTTAACCAAGCCTATATCAATTACTCAACATTATTTGAGGTATGACTTTCCCAAGTTCTATAACATTAATATCTGAGAAGGCATCACATCTCGAAACCCTGGATCTTGAAGGGCAAGCTTACAATAAAGGATGCATCATTATTGCACTTGAGGAGAAGAGTTGAAATATTAGCATTTATTCTAGAGTTGAAATATAGGAGGAATATTTTTTGCCTAGACATTCCTTGGTCATTCTTATATAGAAGGATACTATACATGCACCACTATTGTTGTGAATAGAAGAAAATTATATTTCAAAATGCAATGGAAAAAATTTCATGAAACTATAAGGCCATGTCAATTTGGTCAAATTGTTGATTTCTTTCCAAAACTTGCTCTACTGGATCTCATTGTTCTTGTGGGTAAAAGTTTCTTCAAAGCAGGACAAGACTTATCCAACCACCTAAATTGTAGCTTTATTAATCTTACAACATGCCTTTTGTGAACTTTTCAACTCAGGCACCAAGAATCCTCGAGCAGAAGCAGGTATATTTTCATTTGTTTATTTGAAATGGAAAATAATAGTTGTAATCTCCGAATTGGATATAGATACTATTTCACGTGATGTACAATTCATGCTTCACATGCAAGTTTGTCCAGTTTTTAGATCACTTATAAATATGCTCATTACGATGACCACTGGTTACAACAACATAGCACTCATTTAAATTTCCCCATGTATAGTTCTCTGGACAACTCTTTGACTTTATTTCACATAAGCTACTAACCTAAAGAAAATGAAATGAAATGGCTCTACATTTGATCTCCTCGGCTTAAGGGTTAAACGGACCTTAAAATCATAAGACACACACAACATAGTTACACTATTCTTCATACCACTCTCGCAATGGAGAACTAGTTCTGCTTCACTCATGAAATTAAAGCCATGTCTCTCCACAGAAACTATGATATATATTCACTCAACAAGTTGTTACTAACCAATGGAGCCCAGACACACTCCTACTTAGATGGCATGTCCATTGCGACATGTATTGGTCAACGAAAGTAGTGGTCCACTCCCAGACACATCTGACACTGATAGGAACCTAATTTCTGTTTAATTAAACTTGCAATTGAAGGAAATAAATTATTTGCAAGGTATTACAATGGCTTGATGAGCAGTTCTATTTATGCTTTAAGCAATTTACATGAGATACGGAAAGTGGAGGGTCAAGACTGGTATTAAGTATTGAAGACGTGCAACTTTAAGAGGAATAAGAGAATACGAAAATCAACTGTATTTAACATGCAAGGGTCGTTGCTTGATTTGTTTGAGTGGCCCGCAAATTAAGCATGTTTACTGGCCTATTGTATTGTTTGTAATGTCTCAAAGTGGTTGCCATTGACATGGACATAGATCATAACTTATCATTTTAATATTAAGGAGTAATCTAGATTTCTCCTTGTCTAGAGAGAACCTGGTATTCACTTGAACAAAATTTTAATCTTCAAATACATCTATTTATACACTTAGCCCCTGTTTGGAGCTGATTCTTTAAAGTAAAAATAAATAAATAAATAAAATAAAATAAAATAAAAAAATAGAGAGAGAGAGAGAGAGAGAGAGAGCTGTTAACTTGGAGAGTGGAGTCAAAAAAGATGGCTGAAAAGTGATAAATAACGGTAAAAAAATTCATTTTTTGACCTGAAACAAGCGCTTAGAATCTTTCTTATCTTCCTTTTAAACCAACAAAAGAAAAAGGTGGCAACATTCTATATTTTTATTGAAACCACCCAAATTACAAGCTTCATGAGAAATGATGGAACCCCACAGAGATAATTATGAATATCATGCATAATTAGGCATTAAGCCATTTTTACTATCTCCTACAACCTACTTAGAGATCAGAGAGAGCACCTCAGTTTTTTAAAGAACTAAATATCCCGAGAAATGAAAAAAATGACCACCGTATTTAATAATGATGCAGATATCACATTTAAAATTCAAATTACAAGTGATGCCACTTGGGCAAATTTGAAACAACATATAAATTGAGCTTTTTAACCATAAGAAAGATGAAAAGGAGGAGCAATTTTTTTTTTAAGTAGAAAATGAGTACAAATGCAAGATGTGAAAGACATAGAAGTATATATCTAGAATGATAGTAATCAATTCAAGTGTATCTATACCTTTGCCTCAGCTAGAGCCATTACAAGATCCTCTGGTGTTTCCTTCCTGATACTTTTCTCATCTATATCTGCAGACTGAGCCTCAGAACAAGGCAAATTAGTGTCACCGTTGTGCAGTTAAATACAGTGATGCTGTAATAATAAATCTTATTGAGCTGTAACAAAAACCTTAAACATTAAGGATAAAATTTTATTTTTAAGATATCTCTCAGTACTCCCTCCTGTTCTGATTATTGTACTTCAATTTCTAAAGCAACTCAAGGTATAAAAAAAAATAAAGTAGAGAAATACAAGTTCCTATTACTTGAAGATATTGGTGTTTATAAATTACAAACAACAACAAACTAAGTCTTACTCCAAATAAATCTTGTTTTGCAGCCTTGGAAATTTTAAATAATGACCATATGGTCTGAGGGAAGGAATAGCATTTCTGAAACAATGTACAAATAAATAATACACAACAGAAAGAAGTGCCAAAAAAAAATGTATTTTCACTAGAAACAAACAAGGAATCGAAAGAGCACATTCGTCCCGGTAACAGATTTTATACATTAAGTTTAGCATAAAAACAAGTAATGTTGATATATGTGAAGTAATTGGTGAAATGGAACGTACCATGATTGTGAAATCATAACCCATCTCGGATAGAATTTGTCGACGAGCCATTGAAGCTGAACCCAATATTATCTTTTCAAAATGGAGACATCACTCAACATTATGAGCAGGCTCAAAAATCAAAATATAATAAAATATTCAGAGCGCAAACCTCAAATGACTGATTCCTTGGAGGCATTTTGTTGGTCTCAGTCACCGCACCGAACCTCCTGGTTTTCGCTTGCGGGAGTCAGTCCAATGGACGATTAGCTTACAAGATAAGCTGATAGTGGAGAGAGGAGAGCGAGAGAGAGAGAGAGAGAGAGAGAGAATGGAAAAATCAATAGAGTTGTTTTATTGAAAATCAAAAGAAGAATTATGAATATATTTACGACACTTACTGACGCATTATGGCTTTATTTGTTTATCAATATATTACATTTTATCACATTATTTTTTTATAATTTTTATTTTTAATCACATACTTTTCATTAAAATAATATTATATGTAAATTAAATTTTTTTTCTTTTTTAACCACACATTTCAACATCAATCATTATTTTATAATACATTTATCACAAATAATGGGGCACAAACACCCCCTATAAAGTATCTGTCTCATTAAAATTTTCTTTTAATGAGATAAAATTTGATTGAAAGAAAAAGAGTACAATTGTTCTCCCTGATTTCAATTTCTGTATCAATCCATCCTTGTCTTGTAATTTAATATCTTCAATATTGCAATTTTTGATGAATAATGTTTCATGTTGTTTTGTATAGACTATATAGCTATCGAATAACATCGTTTTCACACAAAATATTTATTAACCTTTGATGATTGTAGTAATATGATAATTCGAAAAATAGCTCTTGTTGATCTCTTTGAGAGTTTCATATGTATAAGAATATTATTTTAAAGGTAAATATCTTATATGTTATGGGTATTCATCGTTAAAACTTTATTAAGAAAAATTCCGTGGGAAAATTTCTAATGATGAAAAAGATTGCATTTTTTTAAGTATGGTACAAAAGTTGTTTCAATAAAAACCTTATTAAGAGAACCCAATGAAATAAAACATCGATCAAGGGAAAAAGAGTACATTGCGTATTTACTCCATATCATCGTAATATCACTTAAATTATGCTTTCGATATTTTAAATCCTTTATAGATAATATTAATAGTTATGCCAGATAAATTGACTATAATATATTTCAAATTTCATGCATAGTCAAAATAATATGATATGAACTCGTAAAATTTCATCCACTATGAACATTGCGAAATTCACCATGTTGAGACTCGTATATTACATATTATGAATTTATTTTCTCATTTTCTTTTCGTATGAGTACACACCTTTAGATTTTTTGGACTGTAGGTTCGGAAACTTCATATTTATCTGTTAAATTAAATTTAAGATTGTGTCCCTTTTATTTGGTCAATCATTACTTCGATCGATATATTTCGATGCATTTATTTCTATTCCTTGCTTATGATGTAGTATCATGTGCAAAAGTATTGTTGACAACTTTTTCTTTTTTAATTATGTTATTGACCATATGCGATGCTCCCAATGGGACCATGTGGAAGCCCCGTGTGCACACACGTGGCGTTCAATTAAGAATAAAGAAAGGAATATTAAAGTACTTTCATCGTCGAGGTCCAACTGCCGAAGTTCTCTCCTTGTTTAGCCGAGGTGGTTTTTCCTCGTTTAGCTGCATTCAATTAAGAATAAAGAAAGGAATATTAAAGTACTTTCATCCTCGAGGTCCAACTACCGAAGTTCTCTCCTTGTTTAGCCGAAGTGGTTTTTCCTCGTTTAGCTGAAGTGGTTTTATCATTTTTGCCAAATCCCTTCACATTTGAAGTCTTTAATTCTCATAAGTGAGTCTGATAGAAGTATCTTTAGGATTGATTGATGTAATGCCCTCATTAAATAGATGTCAAAAATGCCAGCCTAGGAGTGTAGGGCGGTTGACCCCTTATCAAATGTCTATCAACGTAATTAATATGAGATAGGATAACGTGACACCAGGGTCTAGCAAATGAGGACACGTGGATCTGATCCAACGATAACCACGCCGGCTTGGTCACTATAAACAGCGGTCTTTGTAACATTTTAAAATGATGAATCTTCAGACACATGGTGAAGACGAGATTCAGAGCCACATGGCAGGATACCAACAATATTCAGAAGAAGAAAACCCCCAAGAGAGAGAAGTTGGGGTACACACTTCAACAAATTATGCCTCGGAATAGCATCATGAAGTCCCATTCAATTTTCTACCCGAATATGTTCCAAATGATGCACCAAGGAGATCAGTTAGCATTTTTGATAGGCTGAGTCCAGGGCAGCCTAGAAATAGGGATGATCGACATCCTCATCTGCCTAGAAATAGGCAACATGGGAAACCTCAGCTTGGAATGCAAGACGAGCCTGTTTATGGCAATGTCAACCCTCCACCTAGAAGTAGGCGAGACAATAGAGTCGAGCGAGCAAGACAATGAGTAGGGCAGTCTCAACCACCTTAGGAAGTCTCGGCTGGGGAATGAGGTAATTCTGACAAACTGCAGAGGTCCTGTGACCTTGATGACCATGCAACAATAAGCCATTTTCATAGGAAATTAGGGACGCTCCAGCCTCGAACCACTTTACGTTGCCCAACATATCTAAGTATGAAAGAAGAAGAGATCTCGCAAAAAACCTTAATGGTTTCAAAACCCACATGGGTTTGAGAGGTGCTACGCCTACCATGAAGTGCATTGCCTACCACCTAACCCTCAGTAGGGCGACAGAAGTGTGGTACACAGACTCCAAGCAGGAAGTATTCAGAGCTGGCCTGATTTAAGAAGGCTTTTCTCAAGCGCTTCACCACTAACAAAGAATGTGAATGGCCTATGCAACGCTTACAGGACATGAGGCAACAACTTACGGAGTCGTTGAAAAGCTTTCTGACCTGCTTCACAGACAAAATGACATACTGTGTACAAGTCACAGACAGGGAAGCATTAACTGCCTTAAGGGGAGGATTAGACATGAACTCTATAATGCCCGGACCCGCATAAATCGAAATATCACTAGATTAAATTAATTAACTATATTTTTAGTGGAAGGTATAAAGATTAAATTTTAGAATTCAATTTAAGAAATTTTTTTTTTAAATAATTGATAAGAGTGTAAAAATATGAAATTTTTCCCTATTAATTGTTGCATTCATGCAATTATATTATGTCAAAATGCACTCATTGCTCCTATGTTTTGGTTTAGGTTGTGTTTTGGTAAAAAAAAAAAATGAAATTCGGAAGAAACAAGCGAAAAGGGACCAAAATGGAAAAAAGTGAAAGTTCAGGGACCAAGTGGCAAATAATTTAAAGATCAGACGGGCGATGGAATGATGATTCAAGAATGCTAGGGGTCAATTGGGTGCAATTAGAAGTCCAAGGAAGTGAAATATGATCATAACATATTCACAAATCAATTCCTAATTGAAAAAGTTACGCATTGGTTTTCAGCCTTATATTGGGACCTATTTTTGACATGGAAAATGATCGATCTAGAAGATGATTATGAATCAAAGTTGTAACCCTTTGAGTTATATTTCCAAAACAACTTGAATCACCTCAATCGGATATCGGGAGAAAAAGTTATGGTTAAAATACTAAAAGTAGTCCGGTAGAGAAAATGGCAATAACCATGCGGTCGCACAAGCACCTCCAAGGAATTCCAAAGGCCAAAATGTTTCTACCATGAGACCACAACACTTATAACCATGCGGTCACATGGTTATTCCTCGAGGCCGAAATTTCTGTTTCCTTAATTGATTGAACCACTTATGGAAGCACGGTTTCCACATGTTTTTAAACCCTAATCTCGACCAGAATGCCTACAATTCATTCTCTAACACTTTTCTTTGGTTTTTGTCTCAAGAAATCCATGGAGAACTAAACTTATTGGTGAAGCCACAAAGGAACTCGGTTAGATTTGGGAATTTTCATGTCTTTTCTTGCTTAAATGTGTTATTTCATTGTTAAACAATTCTAGATTTAGATTTCTTATGAATATGAATATGTTTTGAGGTTGGTTTAATTTGTATTAAGTTTTCATGGATTCAATCACCTTTTTTTCCATCGAATAATTGAAGTACTTATTGAATTTCAATCTTAAATCTCCTATTGGTGTGATTCTTTACCATTATATGCTTGATGTATATAATCGCTTTTGGATCTAATTTCAATGAATTATTGTGAAATTATATTATGAAAGAAATCTAGGTTTGGGGAATTATTGTGGAATTGAATAGGTTTGAAGGTTAAATTTTCCAATTACAGTGTTGGGATGAAGACCTTTAATTGAGTATTTTCATGCAAAAATTGACATTGATTGAACCATTCTAATCGAGGGAATTCCGGCGCTTCACTATTTCATATATTGATATTAAACTTTTACTTCAATTTATTCCAATCGAAAAATTAATTTCACACAAATCACGACAAAAACCCTAAACTTTTGATCCTTTAAATAATTTTCCATCTCCCTGTGGATAAGACACCCCAAAACTGTATTACAATCACCGCGTTAATCTTTGAGCATAATCAATAATTCAATACTAAAAGAAAATAATTTCAAAAATATTTTTAGAATGGGTTACATGCATGTGACCACTATTGACGTGAAATTTTTGGCAAAACATCAAAAGTAATGTTGTTGTTTTAGTTTTTATCTCAAAAGTTAATTGTCAAAATAAATTCGTTTGCATAGTTATCGACCTCGAAACTCATCAAATTTTAGTGTACTCCTTATAATTTGATATAATAAAAAATTTAGCTTCCATTAGCATCATATGAGGTATTAAAATATTTTTTTAAACCCAGCAGTGACTCGGTTGAAAAGTGAATCAGTGCATTCACTTAAAGTGACATATAAAATTCCACAAACATCAAAACCATATGATTTTAAATTTGTTCAGTAGCTAATTCATGAGACTATCAAATCCAATTGGTTTCATCCAAAAATTTCAAGCAATGGTCAAGTTATGAATTTTTTAATTCAAGGCAGAATTTGAAAAACAACAACGCTAGCCAGTGCAATTTACCTTAAGTGACATATTAAATTCTACGGATATTAGACTGACATGATTCCAAGTTTATTTAGTAGCTAACTTTTGAGACTATCCAATGCCATAAGCTTTGTATAAAAATACTCGGTAGTGAAAGAGTTATGAATTTTTTAAAGACAAGGTAGAAACTAAATTTTTTGAAGAGATAGCAAAACTTTAAATCGCTAACATTTTTTTGTAAACGGTGATTTGTAAATTTATTTCTATGATACATATCTACTTT